AGCAGGAATTAATGTGGTCTCTGAGACCCCTTCCAGATCTAAAATTCTGTAATTTTACGAAATAAACAACTGAAAGAAGCTGAGGAGGAAAAGAAACAACCTTCCCTCTTCCTTCTATCTCTGACACAGCCCCGAAGGACAGCAGAGCTCAACAAGTATCCAGTGACGGGTTTTCTGACTGATTACTAAAGACATACAGTCATGTCAAGGAGCGCATTCAGAGAAGCTTAACCCCGGCTGCTTTTTGCACTGGGAAAAAAGTCCAAGCTGAGGACCAGGAGAACTAGTTCTAAAATTAGTCCTGGGAGTTCCCAGTGGTCCAGTGGTTAGGACTCTGCGTTCTCACTGCCAAGGGCCCAGGTTCAATCCCTGGTCAGGGAACTAAGATCCCACAAGCTGTGTGGCATGGCCAAAAAATAAAAATAGTACCTAAAATTAGTCCTGCCACTATCTCAAGCCTTCTGACTTTAAGAAGTTGCTTTAAAACCCTGGGCCTCACTTTCTCAATCTATAAAATGGGGGGACTGTGTTCTCAATTCCGGTTCTAAAATAGCATGAACAGGTGAAGACAAAGCACATGTCCTACTGGCATCATCGGATTTCACCACCACGAAGCAAATATGTATTAACTAATATTGGTTCAGTAGATGCTGCTTCAAAAGGAACTTCTGTAGGCATTTGAGAAACTTCTTTGAGAAAATGGAAAAGGATTGATTTTAAAGATAATATATTGCAATGGAAAGCTATTACTTTCCAAAGGGGGTAAATACAGACCACAGGTTAACATCCTACTACAAATACAGTTTTAAAAGAAAGTAAAAAAAAAATCATCTTCCCTGTGGGAAAGAAAGACTATTTATTACTTAGGAATTCCTCCTTGGATAAGACTTCACGCAAGCGAATAGGTACAATAAAGTCCACTTCTCCTACCCTTCTCCTTTCTTGAGGAAGGGCTAGGATAGGGACACAGAATGAACTTGCCGACATTAACCATGAGAGATCAATGTGCGGAAGAAATGTGTGGGGAAGGGAAA